CCCATAGCAGCACCCGTTGTGCTCTAAGCCCTCTGAGGTCTGCTCGGGGTCTCCGACCACCTCCTGCTTGTCTCTGCCCAGGTTCAGCCTACACCTGTCTGGAGGCTGCCACAGGCAGGGCCCTGCTGCGCCAGCACATGGACAACACCGGGGAGGACCATCCGCTCAACAAGCTGCGCGTGGTCATCGAGCCAGGTCGGGGGGGGCAGCGGGGGCAGGTGAAGGGTGGTGGTGTGGGGGAGAGGCCCTGCTGCTGGGGTGTTCACAGCTTGCAGTAAAACTGGCGCTGGTGGTGGGACCTGAGCAAGACGATGCCTCGAGGAGGGGTGCGACAGGCTTGCACCCGGTGCAGAAAGTGGAAATCTTGGCACACGTGAGGGCCCTTTTGTTTTGCAGATGGGCAGATGATTTCTGAGCCTTTTCTGTTTCTCTAGGTGTTAATCCGGATGACACATACAACGAAACACCCTACGAGAAGGGCTACTGCTTTGTGAGCTACTTGGCCCATCTGGTCGGGGACCAGAACAAGTTTGATGCCTTCCTGCAGGTGGGTACGAGGAGGAACCAGCCGGAGGTGCCGAGTCGTACAGAACCTTGCGGTGGGAGGCTGGAGCACTGGGCGACTGGGAAGGGCAGGCTGGGGAGAGGAACAGGAGGTGGGAAACGGAGATGGGGAATGAAATGGAGCACGCGGAGGGTTAGGCAGTACTGCCAGGGCTGAGTGTGTGTGGCATCACACCCCGGCTGTCCCCGCAGGCCTATGTGAACCGGTTCAAGTTCCAGAGCATCACAGCGGACGACACCCTTGGTTTCTTCCTGGAGTACTTCCCGGAGCTGAAGGAAAAGGGTGTGGAGTCCATCCCAGGTCAGCACAGCACCTGCCAGGCCAGGGAACCAGCACCCTGCCGTCATTGGAGCCATCCCGTGCCCTCTGCAGACCCTATGCACGTTGGTTTGTGTGTTTTATGGAGACAGCTGCTGCTGCTGCTACTGGCCTCGGCTCCACTGGAGGAGGCACAGCACTGGCTGGCCTGGCTCAGGCTCTAACCTGGGCTCAGCCTGACTCTCCACACAAATCCAGTCTGTGCTCTGCGCTCGGGTGCTGATTGAGGGGGTTTCCCCACAGACAGCTGAGCCTGGTGGGGAGCACCAGGGTGTGAGTGTTTTGCGGGTGGAGCTGCTGGCAAGTGCTGGGGCTGGGCTCAGCTTGGCCTTGCTGTGGTGATCCTGGCTTGGCAGGAGCTTCCCATGCTGGAGCTGGGTTATCTCGGGCAGCAGTGGGGCTGGTACCACACAGGCACACGCCAAGCCCAGGGGGCTCAACAGCCTCACCCCATGAGTCACTGCTGCTTGTTGCCATCCCTGGGCAGGTTTGCGGGTGCTGGGGGGCCCTTGTAGCTGGCAGCGGGATGTCTGGGTATCAGCACCTGGTGTGGGGTCCAAGGCCAGTCCCAGCTCCCCCTCCCTTCCTTGCTGCAGGCTTCGAGTTTGACCGCTGGCTGAACACGCCGGGCTGGCCCCCCTATCTGCCCGACCTCTCTCCGGGGGAGCAGCTGATGAAGCCGGCGGATGAGCTGGCAGAGCTCTGGGCTGCTGACACCTTGAACATGGAAGCGATCGAAGCTGTGGACATCATGGCCTGGAGGACCTACCAGCTGGTCTACTTCCTGGATCAGGTCCTGCAGAAATCCCCCCTGCCAGAAGGTGAGGGCCAGGTCACCCCCCAGTGCCCAGAGGAGACACGGGGACGGGCCCGGCCCAGACAGTGGCAGGGATCAGTGAGATCAGGGGTGCGTGGCCGGCAGTGCCGCTCCCGGTGCCTGGGAACCCTCAGTCGGTGCAGTGGGGGGCAGAGAGCCGGGGCAGCGTGTCCCCAGCCGTCTGGGACATAGACAGTAGCAAGGAGGAGCCCTGCGAGCCCCAGGTGGGCTCTGCTGGGCTGTCGCCTCCCCATCTCAGCTCAGCTCCCCTTGCACTCTTTGCTGAGGGCCCTCCCCACCCCTCGCGCTGGCTCCCCGAGCCGCTGGGCGTGTGGCCCTGCAGGGCTACCTGGCCCCAGGAAGCCCAAGATGGGCACTCTCCTGCCTGGAGCCAGCGAGCACCTGGGGGGCTCCCAGAGCTGGGGTGCTGGGAGGGTCGCAGGGGCTGGGATGGGCTCGCAGGGTCCCCTCGGAGCAGGGCTGGGAGGTGGGGGCAGAGCCCCCGGGGGGATGGTGACAAGCCCCCTCTCACAGGCAATGTGGAAAGGCTGAGCAAGATGTACCCGAAGATTTCCAAGGCCCAGAACGCCGAGCTGCGACTGCGCTGGTGCCAGATTGTCCTCAAGAACAACCTTGAGGCTGAGTACAGCAAGGTCAAGGACTTCCTCCACAGCCAGGTTTGTCCCTGGGCAGCGGTGGCTGTGCCCAGGGGGAGGGATGGGCACAGGACACAGGCCCTTCAGTGCCAGAGAGCAGCTCCTGCTCCTGATAGACCCACAGGATGGGTTGGGTTGGAAGGGACCTTAAAGACCATCCAGTCCCACCCCCCTGCCCCGGGCAGGGCCACCTTCCACTAGCCCAGGTTGCCCAAAGCCCCGTCCAACCTGGCCTGGAACCCTTCCAGGGAGGGGGCAGCCACAGCTTCTCTGGGCAACCTGTGCCAGGGCCTCACCCCCCTCAGAGGGGAGAATTTCTTCCTTACGTCTAATCTAAATCTCCCCTCTGTCAGTTTAAAGCCGTTACCCCTCATCCTATCCCTACACCCTGATCCAGAGTCCCTCCCCCCTTTCCCGCAGCCCCTTTCAGCCCTGGGGGGGCCGCTCTAAGGTCTCCCTGGAGCCTTCTCTTCTCCAGCTGAACCCCCCAACTCTGTCAGCCTGTCCTCACAGGGGGGGCTCCAGCCCCCGAGCATCTTCATGGCCTCCTCTGTGCCCACTCGAGCAGGTCTGTGTCCTTCTGATGTTGGTGCCCCCAGAGCTGGACCCAGCACTGCAGGGGGGTCTGACGAGAGCGGAGCAGAATCCCCCTCCCGGCCCTGCTGCCCACACTGCTCGGTGCAGCCCAGGATACAGTCAGCTTTCTGGGCTGTGGGCATCGCCAGCTCATGTCCAATTTATCACCCACCAGTACCCCAAGTCCTTCTCCACAGGGCTGCTCTCCATCCGCCCATCCCTCCCCCAGCCTGTACTGGTAGTGGGGGGTTGCCCTGACCAGGTGCAGGATCTTGCACTTGACCTTGTTGAACCTCATGAGCTTTGCACAGGCCCACCCCTTCGACAAGGTCAAAGTCTCCCCTTCCCGGTGCCGCAGTGCCAGGGGTCTGTCCCCCTCCTCTGGGTGATGCCGGAGGTGCTGAGCGCTGGGGGGGTGTGGGGCTCCACCCCCCGGAGGCGGTTGGGGTAACCCCCGCTGTGTCCTTGCAGGGGAAGCAGAAGTACACCCTCCCCCTCTACCGCGCCATGTGGGGCGGGTCGGAGGCAGCCCGGGCCCTGGCCCTGGAGACCTTCTCCGCTACAGCCCCCCAGCTCCACGTCAACGTCCAGAACTACGTCAGGAAGATCCTGGGCTTGGAGGGGGCAGAGGCCTAGTGCAGGCTGGGCCTCGGCGCTCTCTCCCCCTCACTGCCTGTGTTATGCATTTAATTACTCATTAAAATGTGTAATTTTTTCTTGTACTTTTCCTGTTCCTGGTGTCCTACGAGCAACCTGCGTGTGAGTCCCTGCTCCCCTGGCCCAAGAACCAGGCTGGTGGCCCAGGAGAGACCCTTGCCAGCCCCCTCACTCTGGCACAGCTGGGGAGGCCGCGGCCCTGATCCGCACCGGGCTCCTGCCGAGCTGTGAGGAGGAGGGGGCTGGTGCTCTCTGCCCCCTGGGGACCTGCCCCTGCCGGCTCTGTGGGGGAGAGGCAGAAGCGGCAGCTCTGGGTGTCAGCTGGGCTCAGGCCATCTCCTAAACCTGGAGTGACAACAGACGGCTGAGCAGCGTCATGGGGGGCTCTGCCCCTGCACAGCCTGACAGGCCTTGAGCCAGGCTCAGGAACTTGACCCTGCTCCGGTGAGCAGTCTGGCGCTGACAGCAGCTGCCCCAAGGGGCTGTGGGGCCATGAGTTCAGCAGGACCTGCTCTTTGCGGGGAAAAGTCCCCGAGTGCACAATGGTGCAAGTAAAGCACAACCCCAGGGCTTTGAAGAGCCAGCGTGACCTGTACAGGGTGGAGCCTGTTGGAGTAAGACAAAGGTTGGCAGCCATGCTGTTACGTAGTCCTTACCAAATGCAGGACTGGGGCAATTTTGAGCAGGACCCCAAAATTCCTTCACAAAACTGCCCCAAGGCTGCAGTAACCCTGGGAACCTGCTGGCCAGAAAGGTCCCCATGGCCCCATCTCAGAAGGATCCTGGAGGTGGCAGTGACACGAGCAGCCCCACACCTTGGGAAGCTCAAACCAACCCCATGTATGTCCTGGCCCCGTGGGGCTGTGTAGCTGCCTGATCCTAGGGGAAGGTGCCCCCTCCCCCCAACAGCCCTGGTGCTTCTGGTGCTTTCTCCTGCGACCCAGCCCGGTCCCCCACAGACAAACCAAGGGACGACCAACAGAATCCCAGAATCATCTTGGTTGGAAAAGCCCTTGAAGCTCCTCCAGTGCCACCATAAACCTCACCCTGACCGTTCCCAACTCCCCCAGATCCCTCAGCGCTGGCTCAGCCTGACTCTTCAACCCCCTCAGGGATCCCGGGGACTCCCCCCTGCCCTGGGCAGCCCATTCCAACGCCCAACAGCCCCTTCTGCACAGAAATCCTTCCTCAGAGCCAGCCTGACCCTGCCCTGGGCAGCTTGAGGCCATTCCCTCGGGGCCTGGCGCTGGCTCCTTGGCTCCAGAGACTCATCCCCCCTCTCTGCCCCCTCCTGGCAGGGAGTTGCAGAGGGCCAGGAGGTCTCCCCTCAGCCTCCTCTTCTCCAGACTGAACCC